TTTTCGACGTTTGGACATATATCGGCGCTACAACAATACTCATCTTTTAAGTATATTGCTTTGCATACTTTTTCTTTATAACTGGACTAGCGTTCATCTACTCGACCCTACCGCTGTGGGTTGGAATCCTTCCAGGGACTTGGGATTATTTCATGTGAGGAAGCTATCAAGCTATACCTAACGGATTGTCGGTGATTCTACTAAGTTCCCGTTCGTTCACGGAGGGACACCAGAGGTCTTCCTTTGCCAAGGTGGAAATTGCTATATGACCTTACTTGTTGGTGTGACAATTAAATATCTGAAAGCTAATTAGGACTGCTTGTTTTAAAAACTTATTAGAAATAAAACTCTTGCTTGTTCTTGGTATAAAAAACCCAATTAGAAGGTATAAAGTACGGTGGCACAAAGGTGATATGTGTGTGTTTTTATTTATCTCGTGGCCACGAGTTACTAAGTCGTGGCCACGAGATAGCTAAGTCGTGGCCACGAGATAGCTAAGTCGTGGCCACATTTGTGCAACCGTAATACGGTTCAAATAAGGTTTCTATTTTATATTTCCTCCTAATCAAGATTTTATTTCTCATTTTATTTCTTATAATAAGACATTTAAAACTTCTAACTTCTTATTAAGAGTAACAAAGAGTCAATTCGCCTACATATGGGTAAAACTTTCTATTTAGTGGTAATTGGTAGTATCACATTGTATTTAGGTCTTATATCTCTCCTATTTGGGCTTTTATAGCCCTTAATTAAAAGTGAAAAAGTCCTTATTATATTATGCTTTTAAAACTCAAAAATAAAAGTTACAATGTCCTAATTCGGCTTTTAAAACTCCTTATTATGAGTTAAACAGTTGTTTGTTTTTTTCAAAGAACATTAAGAATTCGCCCCAGACGGTTCCGTGCCCCTTGCTAAAACACTTTTAAAAATGTTGTCATTTTATCGGAGATTTTCGACATGCGACCACATACATGCATCGAGGACATATTGTAAGGAATGTGACCGTGCGACCACATAAGTACAGAGTATACTGCCATACTTTTTATGGTGGCTGATTTGTGTCATTCGTGATTTCGCCCCGCGACCCCGCTAGCGAAAAGTCCAGAGTTAACATGTTAAAATGGCGGGGGCGCAGAGCGAAAACACGCTTTTTCGCGGGGCAAAGTTTAATAAATAAAACTTCGATCCGCGGGGGGGGGGGGGGCGCGTAGCGAGATGGGCGGGGACGCGGAGCGAAAGCATGCTAATTAGCGAGGGCGCGGGCGAAGTTTAAGTTTTATTTCTTTAATCTCGTCCCACTCCCACGCTTATAAGCGTGTTTCGCTTCGCGCCCCCGCCATTTTAACTTGCTCATTTTCGACTTTTCGATTGGCGGAGTCGCGGAGCGAAAATACGAATGGCATAAATCAGCCACCATAGCTCTTGCACATTCTGACCTCTTATTGGTAACGGAGACATAGAAAACATCTCTGTTGGTGATTGACGCGGACTGTATGTGTAAATTAATTTGAGCCGCGCCATGACAAAACCAACATAATGGGTTTGCGACCAGCATGGATCCAGACTAACCTGCGCATCCGCGCAGTCTGATCAGGATCCATGCTATTCGCTATCAGTTTCTATACTTGTTATAGGGTTTGTAAGCGAACAGCATGGATCCTGATCAGACTGCGCGGATGCGCAGGTTGGTCTGGATCCATGCTGGTCGCAAACGCACTAGGTTGGTTTTGTCGTGACGCGGCTCATTTCTCTGTTCACTTTACAATTTTGTACTGTTAAATACATTTTTAAAATATTCATAAAAAATATCATGAATCTTGAGGCATTCCGCTTTAAATATTAAAGAATTCAAATAAAATATTTTAGAAGTTAACATGCTATGTCTATAGTGAAAATACAAGCATGTATATGTTTCTTTATCAAATCGATGATGTACCAAAATGTAAGGATATGCAGTTACAAAATAACAACAAAAGTCTCATGATTTATACATTTTAATTTAATTTCATTATGTGATAAATACAGTCAATGCCGATAAAAAAATCATACAATTTATATGTGATACAATAACTTTAAATCCGGTTGGCAGGGCAACTGTTACATTTATTGATAAATATTTTCATATATATCAAAGTATGCATTTTACAAAATTCAACTATGACAAATTATTTCAAAAGCAATTCAATATGTTTTCAAAGTATTCTTCAAAGCATATTACATAAAATATATAGGTCATAAGCTATAAAAGATATCCAATATCGGTTAGAAATTTATTACTCGTAGCTACTGCCTTTCATGAAATGTTTATTTTCATACCACTTGATGAAAATAAATCTTGTATTTATAAAAAAAATGAGAACTTTCACATTATATTTTTTAAATAACATTTTGAAATACTCCCCCTTAGATTTTGTGTATCGGCCCAATTAAGAAGAAAGTAGTACGGCAAGACACCAGTGAAAATATGGAAATATGTTTGAAAATCACTGCAGTAAAAAAATTTTACTGAAAAGAAGGAAAATGAAAAAAAAAACTCATTTTATTTCATCAATATTTCTTAATATTTCATTTATAAGTATACAATAAACATACTTATTTTGAGAAATTATATATAATAAATTCAATTTAAAAATGTCAACTATATTTTGTAATTTACTACTATATAATATGTAATTATGATGAAAATGAATGTCAAAACAGTCGGAAATGTTTTGTATTTAAAGATTTCTCAGTAAGTAATACTTTTACGTAAGCTCGCGCCAATGATACCAAAAATACTTGATACTAGACTGGGAATACTGTCTGTAAAAAATTGCCCGCAACTCCTTGAAAACGATTTTCTCTCCCAGTGATAATCAGGTTTTCCTTTGACAATTCCAAACACTAAACGCTCTGTGGGGAGATTTTTTGTTGAAACAGAGACTTTATACGTATCTACAAATTCTATAACAACTTCACATGAGCTAAGGTTGCCCATACTGGGTATGGTACTCAGGGTATGTTGAAGCAATTTAGCATCATCCTTTGACAAGTTCGTTCGTTGACTACCAACAGCTCTCTGTACGTCCGTTGCTGTTAGGTTACCCTATAAAAATATGAAAAGAAACATGTATTATTTCAAATATGCAAGGAGTCGCAGTTCATCGGAGTATTTGAAAAAAATATTTATTTTTTTTCGTGAAAGAGACTCCTTCCTGAAAAAAATGTAGCTAATTATGTTTGTTTTTCTTCAAAGAGAAATATTTCATATATTGTTTACCCAATAGGAGTCTACACACTGGTTTCGAGCTAGTATTTCAATTTTATATATAGGTAACTCGACAAAAACATGGCGGATTGCATGCCCAATGGGAGCCCCTTTTCGATTTCTTTTATCGTCAATTTTGTAATTATGTGGCATTAAATTCTCCGTTTCGATTGGCTTAGGAGGCATAAATGGTCAAATCTTGTTAATTGTACGAGTAACAACCCCTTTAACAAACAGAAAAAACTTTTTGGAACCTTATTTCAAATTCTTACTCTAAACTGGTAGCTTATAACACTAAATAAAATACTATTTGTATTGCGCAAAACTGTTTTATTTTTTTGAATGATTCAGATAAAAATGTGTCTCTACGAAGTGGATGCTTTAAGTAATAGAAAGAGCATCGAAACACGAGGCTATCTTATTTGTACGAGGGGGCGTGGCGTGTTTTGATGTTCTTTCTCTTTTGTATCATAGTCAAACATAAAAACACGTTCCCTGTAGCCCCGGAGAAAAGTAACCAATTAACGATCATCTAAATATGATATTTCTGTCGTTTTCACTATCTATGCCGACACAATAAGTAAACCCCAGCAAAATAAGCCAATCAATGGGCATGCTCTGGAGTGCGGGTAACTAATAACGCACGGTGCATGTATATGTATACGATTTAACTCGGACACATTTTAAACAGAAAGGTCCCCAAACTATGATACAAATTAATATTGTTATGTATCTGTTATTATTATTATAATTATTGTTATGATTATAATTATTTTATTATTATTATTATTATTATTCATTAAGTGTTCCTTATAGCCGGGAATTCGCTATAACCGCGTTCGCTATTGGTGGAATTTACAGTATTAATAATAAAACGCATGCTTACCGATGAGCTGAGTGAAGATCCCATACTTATATCTTATCTGATAAACTGTGTATAAATTTAAGTGGCTCTGAAAACAACAACAGCAGAATGAATAAACTGTAAAAATATTTATGTGTTGGTTGATACAGTAGCAAAGCTGTAAGCAGTGTTCACATTCCATATCTTTAAAGTTCTGAAAAAGTGAATACCATGTTAGCGTGCGATATTATAAAGTTTATCAGCCAAGGCTAAAAAAAAAAGAAGGGAGAGGCTCTGCTGAGTCCTTTATTTTCTCGTGCCGAGCCTGAAAATTGTTTAATATCAGACACTTGTTTGGTATTCTATTTATAAATTTATAAAGTTTTTTTTTTTGTTGTTTTTTTTTGTTGTTTTTTTTTTAATACGCATTTTTTACACATTTAAAATGGACTTAGACCTCTCGAGTGCATGCGCAGTTATACATTTAATATGCCAAGGGTCATATCTAAAAGAAATAGTCCCAAATAATTTTAGGCAAATTTAAGAAAGACTTTAATATTCAACAAATCTTTTCAATTCAAAGTTTATCAGATAAATGTTTTCAAACTAGTAAGAGCTCGGTAAAATATTCCATTCTCTTCATTTTATTTCAATATGTATTGATGAGCTGTCTGATAAAGCTGAGGGTGACTGATATAAAGCTATATTTATCCGACATGCACTTTATCAACAGATAGCAATGTAAAGACATGATAAATAATTATTTTGTAAAAATTACCTCTAAGATACTTTCCTGATATCACTTTTCTGTAAAAGTTCCTCAAATATTATAAACATTATTATCAAGAATGGAATGAAGATAGTCTATCAAATGAAGATGTAGCTTAACATTTGTTGCGTAAATGTTGTAAATGCGGCTTAATAGCAAATGCGACTCAACAACACCATCTTCTTAACGATACAGTTTTTCTCTCAGTTTAGCCAGATACTCCTAATTATATGAAGAAAATGAGGGCGTTGATCTGAACAATGAGTAGTTTGTCCTTTTTTTTTTCCTTTTTTTTTATTTTGCATATACATGTAAATGTCATTATGGCATGCTACTGAGTATAAATAAATCAAAAGAGGCAAGTTTTAAGCTTTAAAGCAGCATGACTCCAGATTCATCCTTAAGTTCGTGAACATTTTTAAAATGTATTTTAACGTAAAATATTGTGACGGTAACAAAGAAAGTAATTGACACATTGCATATCGGCATCTATAATTCACGTAAATTATCAACAAAAAAAAACCGGCCAAAATGCGCAAAAATAGCCCCTACTGCGTTAGTAACGCAGTAAAGAATATGGTGATAAATACTGCAAAATCAGTCATGTATTGCAAATAAGATGTAAATTAATAGATGTAACTCTGTTTACTTTCCTTAAAATCTTAGTACATTTTCCCAAGTTAAATTTTCTTGGAATATTTCGGTTCATCTGGAGGCATGCAGCTTTAGTACAAATGAAGGTTGTTTAAAAAAAGGAGTCACTTGATTATTATATTACACTACAGCCAGAGTAAAAATAGCTTAAGAGAACTATAACATGACTGCACTATACTAATTCTATAAAGACGATGAAAATTATTTAAAATATTTTTTTTTTTTTTATTCTTTTAAATAATAATGCTTACGTTTATAAATGAAACAGGAAGAAAAGCGTAAGTAAAATTTGTAAAACCTTACCTCGTCTTGATGCTTAGTGAATGTGATGAAATGATTATGTAGCCTTTGTTTTTATTACTCTTTCGAAGTAAGGCCACGCATAACATTGTGGTTCTTGCCCATTCTTTTGTTATATCGTTTGAAACCTTGTTTGATAGTTACCACTCAGATTTGTTTAATTTCATAAAATTTAAATGAGTTAATAAATGATATTACCTATTAATGTTCGTTCAGCCCATAGAAATCCTATTTATATAATCTTTGTTGAAATTATCTTTAGAACTCAATAATGGCTTTCCCATTATGACACCGGGTCGGAAGTTATATTTTGAGGTGCCCATTATGACACCGGATTGAAAATTATTTTATGACTCAATAATGGCATGTCCATTATGGAACCGGGCCGAAATTATTTTAGGACTCAATGATGGCATGCCTATTAGGGAACCGGCCCAAAATTTTTTTTTTGGGGACTCAAAAAATGGCATGCCATTATGACACCGGATGGGAAGAAATTATGCCAGCCGCTATCTGGAGGAATCTGTAAGTTTCTTTGTGAATTATGATAATGGGGGAAAAAAGTGCTTTAAAAATTAAAATAATATAAGTTATAAAACAGTTTAAAATATGAACACAAAGGTCAAAGGGCAACGTAAAGGGGACACATCCCAAATAGCTTGAAGCATCACAGTACTTCTGTAAAGACCCCATTAAGGTACGATCGGCAATAAGTCCGGTTACACAGGGCTCTATATCGCTCAAAGAAAAGTTTGCATTTATTTATTTATTTATTTATTTATTTATTCATTTATTTATTTATTTATTTATTGCAAAACTTTGATCACCAATGATGTTTGCGACGAACTTATTTTACATGTATTTTAGTAGTTCTTACCTTTATATTTTTTTTATTCAATTGGAAAATTTAGATAATTTCGAAATGTTGCTTTGCTCTTGATTCTATTGAAAAATTTGCTCATATTGACAAATGTGCTTAACATAAAAATGCTTTTATCGCCCGGTAACCTTTACCTATTCGTCAAAGAAACTTAAAAGGACTTTACATATTATACTTTTTAAAACCTACTTGAGAAATGAGATTTACGACCCCCGAGCTACCTGCTACAGATAAGGGTAAAAAACACTTTGAAGAGGAAATCCCTCGTAAGCGACGAAAACATTGAGTATTTTCAGCATCGCCAAGGCCATAAACATATGAGGAAGATGTCTACCCAGCATTTAATGAAGGGGAAATCAAATGGAAGCAGTAAAAACAACAAAAAATAAATGAGCCGCGTCACAACAAAACCAACATTATGGGTTTGCGACCAGCATGGATCAAGACCAGCCTGCGCAGTCGTGCAGTCTGATAAATATCCATGCTGTTCGCTTACAATCTCTATTACAAGTACAGAAACTGATAGCGAACAGCATGGATCCTGATCAGACTGCGCGGATGCGCAGGCTGGTCTGGATCCATGCTGGTCGCAAACCCATTATGTTGGTTTTGTCGTGACGCGGCTCAAATAAAGATTGCAGACTTCATTGAATCTGTTCAAGAGAATTGATGTAAAAAGGTATTGTCTCTTACGCCTAAGCTTATTCAAACAACTTCAATTCAAAATCAGTGATACCGGAGAAACAAAAAATATAACAACACTGTCAGAGAGCTAGTACAGGCAATTAATCACCATGTGATTGATAGGGTGTCACGTTGCCGTCCAATGTACGTTTATTAAACTTTAAAACTGGTTCAAGTGGTTTCGACCACACGTTAATTAATTTCTTAATTTTAATCTTAAGCACTTTCTGTGAATTGATTAAAATAATCAACTGAGGTTATAATTAATATCAGATTTTAATGAACATGTATTCCCGTATCTATCTTTAAAGATAACACGGCAAACCTTATTAATAAGATATAAGATAATAAACTGGTGACAAACCTACAGTAAAATAGGTGCGATTTTAAGTATTTGAGCAAGAATAATAAAAACCATTTTACAACGTATGTGCCAGACAAAAAAAAAATTAAAATATGGATTACATACATGCATTTAACGTTGTTACTTTCGGTTCCTAGAACATTTGTATATTGCATTAAGCTTAACGAAAGAAAGAAAGAAAGAAAGAAAGAAAGAAAGAAAGAAAGAAAGAAAGAAAGAAAGAAAGAAGAAAGAAAGAAAGAAAGAAAGAAAGAAAGAAAGAAAGAAAGAAAGAAAGAAAGAAAGAAAGAAAGAAAGAAAGAAAGAAAAACACACACACCCGTAAGTCGAAACTCAAAAGTGGCCCTCCAAGGTTCCCATAGAGAAGTCATATTCGGACTTATTTACAAATTTTAACCTTCGTTCAATTACATATATTATTCATAAGCGACCGTCAGTAAACGCACGAGGCGAAGAGAGTAAAAGAATACTGGAACTACTTTATTTTTAAATAAGTTTAAAAGTCTTTTTAATGAGTACATATACCCCTATTTAAAAAGTAAATATGAATTTCTATCGCAATTATTTTTGATACAAAAAACAACAACAGAAGACAACTAATTTTATTTCATGACCATTGATTTTGTGAGGAAACATTCAACAAATCCATCAAACAAGGGGTCATGATGGCCCTGAAACGCTCATCTGAGATTCACGCTAGGAAAGGATAAAGCCAGTAATGGATATCTAGAAAAAAGGTGATCCCTCGGAAGCATTAAAAACAGCAAGATATTACATGAAAACTGCAGACTCGGCTTGATCGAGTCTGTACATGAGGGGTGATGAAAGAGTGCAACATCCCCCACGCCCCTAGCACCGGCTTGCTCAGGTGTCTGCGTGGCCGAGTGGTTAACGCGTCGGACTAGTAATCTAAGGACCATCGAGTGGTTTAGGAGATGTTGCTTAATGACATTGTGGGCAACGACGGACGACGAAAACACTGCCATCATAGAAGCTCACCTCTGAGCACTTACAAGTGATCAAGTGAGCTAAAAAGAAAGCAAAAGATATGAAATCAGTGAAACCAGACAATTGATAACTAGGTGAAAATTCAGTACCTGCAGATAATTTGTCCTATATTACTAGATGAATCTCGAAGGCGTGCACAATCATAATTATATCGCTCTGCATTAACGCTAATAAAAAAGCCAAGACACCTGTATTCTGCCATAAAATTACTGATACTTATCCTAAAGAGATTATCAAAATGCATGAAATGGACAATGATGGTCAAATTAGTGAAAATGAAAATCCTGAAGGAAAGGTGTTCAAATGTGACGTCATAAATGGACGAAGTATAGGACGGATTATTCTTAAAATGTGCGGGAACGAAGGTACAGTGGATGATGCAAACCAAGCAACCATCAGACGCTTGCTTCAAGAAATTATAAATTATACCAAGGAAGAAAAGGAAAGCGTTT